ATAGATGCAAAGAAATTTGCATATAGATGCACAAATCAATCGCATTTTGCCAGGCAAGAAATATTTTCATTACAATTTGCAGAGTTGTAAAACAACTCAAAGATAATCAAAGGCATGGACAATCCAGAAAATATACTAGACCTGGGCTGTTAGGCCAGTTGTGTGAACAGAAACTCAAGACTAGGGATCCAGGGAGAAATCTTGTTTTATGAACCAGGGCACAGGTAGGGAAGAAGCTGGAATTCAGAAACTATTCAAAGGGGGAAAGTACCCTAATGCAGAGCCTTAAAGATTGGAATTTGGAATGGAGGAGGCTGAGGCTGGTCATTTGGGTACTTCCTACCTCAAGCCTTGATTGCTCCGGAAACTGGGGCAGGGCTGAGTCCTTGAGGCAGAGCGTGTGGGAGCCAAGGTGGGCAGAGGCTGACCCCGTACACTCTCTTGGTTTCAACCTACTGTTATAGGCTGAAGACTGTCACATCTGTTGATACATTTTCAGCCCTGACCTTTTTCCTTCAACATTCATGCTAGAGTTATACAATTTCCTGCTACTCTCCCAATAGGTACTTCAAACTCAACATGTCTAAAATTGAACTTCTTTTAAACCCTAAACCTGCTCTTCCTCCTGTATTCACTGTCTCCAACGGTGACACCACCATTCAATCAGGCATGCAATGCAGAAACCTGACATCCTTGGTTTCTTCTCCCTGCAGTACTACCTGACACATCCAATGAATGTCTTAAATCTGTTCCTTTCTATCTCTAGAATCATTGTCTAGTTTAAGATCTTGCCATCTTTTCACCTGGACTATTGATATCTTTTAAGTAGTTTTATCTTTCTGAAACTCATCCAGTGGTGTGCTGGAGCTGGCTTACGCCAGCTGGTGAGAACTGGTTGTGTGCATCTCTTCCCAACTCTGTGTTCCAGGATGTCATATTGGTAGCTTGAAATTGGCCACAGTGGGAGTATTTACACCACAGAAATTGGCAAACACTACAAATCAAGGTTGTTGTTTTTGTTTTGTTTTGTTATGGAAAGCTGCTTGTTAAACATTTATCAGCACATATACCACTGCCAATTCTCCACACTTCGGCCAAACTGATCTTTGTAAAACACTTGTTCAACCACACTACTCTCCTGATTAAAATTCTTCAGCGGCTCCCTATGGCCAACAGATCACATTAAGTTCCTTCTCATGGCATATGAGGCCTTTTATTACCTGGCCCCTGCCTAAATGTCCAGCTTCCTCTCCCATTCCTCCTAGCAACTTCTGTGCTAGTTCGAAGGTCACACAGTGGCCCACTCAAGCCTCAGTTGCCTCATATATATACTTTGTTTGGCATGCACACTATCTTTAACTCTTTTGAGCCAACATTGAAGACTTTAGGAAATTCTACCTCCAAATCCATATTTCTGACTTTTCTTGAAAGATGACAACACTGGGTCCTCATTCATGCACATAACAGCAATTTGATCACAACAAGGGGCTGAGTAGCAGATGCCCCCTTTGAGACGGTATGTGCTCCACAGCTCACCAACGCCTACCATTTACTCATCCAAATTATGCATATGTCCCCACAGGTAGCTTTTATTTCTGTGACCTGTTATCTGTTTGGACCCTGTTGTAGACCATATTACAAAGTGCTGATTATTATCAGAAACCTCTGACCCTAATGATAGACTCTTTCTTTGCCGTGGCTGTCCTGATGAGAGTCCATGGTCCCTGCACAGTCTAGGAAGGGAAGAGCAGCAGGATGAGGAGAAGCAGCAGAGGGGGAAGAGGAGTAGAAATATGTCATCTTTGGGTCAGAGTCTCCATCTTGGAGCAATAGCACTGTGGACATGACAAGCAGGGACTGTCCTGGGTCTTTGTGACCTCAAGGTATTCCCTATAGAGACCATTTGCTAACCTTCCTGAGAGTCTTAGAATGTCTACCTTCTCAGCTAGACATGGAAAGGAAAGACCCAAGGACACTAGCTCACACGGACTCCAGCTGTGTGGATCCAGGCTTCTAAACAAGAGCCAGTGTCTTAATTTGAGAATAAAAACCAATTCCTTTTAGCTGAGTGCCTGCTGTGTGTCTAGCACTGTGCTAGAGGCTATGGGGAAAACAAGAGCGGACTAAGACAACTCTGCCTTCAGAGAGCTCACAGCCTGACTGAAGAAGCAAGAAATACCTATATCAAATAATTAGAAACTAATATAAGCCTGCATCAGAAGAGTGACAGCTTGGATATAACCTAGTGCCCACAACATCTGGGTGGTCAGTAAGGGGTGGGATCAAGTTAAGGGGAGATCTACGGAAGAAGTCAGGGCTTACAGTGGCCCTTCAGTGGCAGTGAAGTGGGGATCCACACAGGATATGCCACAAGGATATACATACAGAGAGCAGTGAATGAGGTGGGTGTGGCAATCTGTGAATGATAAGGCTGACTGGAAGAGAAAAGGTGGTCTTGGTAGGAGGACATGGTTGGGCACTGCCGACCAGTTTCTTTTGAAAAGATTTACTCTCTGGTGTCATGTATCCAGAAAGACAAATGGAGAATCAGAGGCTCCTTGTTGAGCACCAAGTCAAAGACAACAGAATCAGATGGCTCTGGAAAGCATGTCATACTCTAGGCATAGACAGCAACCTTTCGGCTCCATGACACAAATGGGGCTGAGCATTATTCACAAGTACCATTATGTGTCTCGGACAGGTCTGTCAGCATTGACATAGAGGAGAAGAAAGAAAGAGTAGGAAAAGAAAGAGCAAGGAACTGGGTAGAGAGAGTGGACAGGAAGAGCATCATGGTAGGGAGCAGACATGTACCTCCAGTCAAACCCAGGGAATCCTGTGCCATAAGCCATCTTCCCTCCACCCACCACCTCCACCTCTAGATCATGACAGAGATTAACAAATGCTCCTGGGCTTCCCTGGTGGCGCAGTGGTTGAGAGTCTGCCTGCCGATGCAGGGGATACGGGTTCGTGCCCTGGTCTGGGAGGATCCCACATGCCGCGGAGCGGCTGGGCCCATGGGCCCGCTGAGCCTGCGCGTCCGGAGCCCGTGCTCCGCAACGGGAGAGGCCACAACAGTGAGAGGCCCGCGTACCGCAAAAAAAAAAAAAAAAAAGAAATGCTCCTGCCCACCGAGGAGGGGCAGATTCCGGATCTGAGCTCCTTTCTTCCCAGGCAGACTATGATACATTGTTCACTCACCATCTCTCCCACCTCTAGGCTTTATGCCGGTTGTTGTGTTTATGTTCATTACCAGTCCCACTCAGACCTACTTCTTCCTTAGCCTGCAGGTTTATGTTAATTTCTGAGATGATTCTTTCCTGTGTCCGATTTACTTTATGAGTCACTTGCTCACTTCCTGCTGCTTGTTTGTAGCTGCTCCCTCTAAATGTTTAACAATGTTTACTGGCTGCTCCATCCAAGCAATTGATGACCAGTGTGTAGTGAACTCTCAACTATTCAGAGGATGATGTAACCACCCCGAGAAGGAAACAGATTTCTTGCAAACTTCTCCACTTTCTTCTCCTCTGCCTTTTTCCCACTCCCTGTTTTCTGGCCACTTCCCTGCTTGGGAATCCCTCATCCAAGATGGGAAGGAGGCAAAGATGATGAAAACTGTAGCTCATCCCTCCGTCAATTCGCCAGCAACTGTGGGTTTCCAAAATAATTTTTTTAAGAGTAAAAAGAAACTAGCGATTAAAACAGTATTTGTCTAGTCCATGAGAATCTCCATCATCCACGTTCTGCTCTCCCCAGTTAAACTGAGTATTTGGAGCTTTATTAAAAAATGTATTGAGATCAATATTTCACAGTTTCCTGGAATTTTATCCATGCTTTGAATCCTCAGCTCCACCCCTCCATGAAGACTCTTCAGACTATTCCAGTTCTCCTTGTTGTCTAGCTCCAGATTCTATCACACTGAGATTCTTCTGTTGGGTGTAGCGTGTCCCAAAGGACACATTTTAAAGTCAAAAGATTTGTTTTTAATTCATTGATCAGAGTCTGCTCACTCACCCAGAACTGTATGCTCCTGCACACCCAAAGAACCCCATACCTTTCACCTATAGCTGCTGTTTACACCAAGCATTACATCATGGACATACCCATTTTTTTTTGAGTGTCAAGAGTCAATTGTTTGTGTATTTGTTACAGAGTTCAAACTCCACAGCTGAAAGTGAGCCAGTCTTTATTTGCATAATATTTATCTTGGAACAAAGTTTAGAAATAGAAACTTGAACATACCAATTTTATCAGAGGTCTTTTTGCTATTGGTAACCTCAAGCCTGGAGGTCCTCATTTACAGAGTAATTCTTCCTGACAATAACAGATTCTCTCTACCTTGCTGGGATCTACAGGAAGTTGGAGGAACACTGTCTGGCTTTGGTCTTTGGTCCCCTGAAGTTACAGTGTCACAATTTGGGAATGTCTTCTCTTCAGCCCCCAGGGCTTGATTTAGTGGCATGGGCTTTAAGATTACTGGTTGTCTTTAGCCTTTCAAACAAATATTTCTGCAGTCTCTACTGCTCATTTGGAACTGAACACATACTCCTACTTACCAATTTATAGAAGTCTGATATACCCAACCAGATTCCAGGAAAAATGCCCTTTACTCCTCTGTACAACCCCTCATTGTGCCTCAGACAGAACTGGCATAATTTAAGGGCCAAGCTCCAGAGTCATATTGTCTGAGTTTGAATCTTGGCTCTGCACCTAAAGCTGAGTAACCTTAGGTACGTTCTTTAAACTCTGTGTGCCTCAGCTTCTTCATTTGGGGAGAATATTTACCTCATGAGGTTGTTGTGGGGATTAAGTGAGTAAATATATGTAAAGTGCTGTATGCCTGGTGTACAGTAAGCATTTCACAACTAGCTATTCTGATAAGGAGAAGAACTGACAAAAAAACTGGTGACCCCAGTTCCTGATTCATTAACATTTGATGGGCTCTATGCTCCAAGCCTTAATCCTGCCCTTTTATGTGTTTTTCATTTTCTTGTACCTAGGTCCCCACTCTGATGATGGACACCCAGTTCTCTGAGTTCACACCGGACATTACTCCCATCATGCTTGCTGCCCACACCAACAACTACGAAATCATCAAATTGCTCGTCCAAAAACGGGTCACTATCCCCCGGCCCCACCAGATCCGCTGCAACTGTGTGGAGTGTGTGTCCAGTTCAGAGGTAGACAGCCTGCGCCACTCCCGCTCCCGGTTGAACATCTATAAAGCGCTGGCGAGCCCCTCACTCATCGCCTTATCAAGCGAGGACCCCATCCTAACTGCCTTCCGCCTGGGCTGGGAGCTCAAGGAGCTCAGCAAGATGGAGAATGAGTTCAAGGCTGAGTATGAGGAGCTCTCCCAGCAGTGCAAGCTCTTTGCCAAAGACCTGCTGGACCAGGCTCGGAGCTCCCGGGAACTGGAGATCATCCTCAACCATCGAGATGACCACAGTGAAGAGCTTGACCCTCAAAAGTACCATGACCTAGCCAAGCTGAAGGTGGCCATCAAATACCATCAGAAAGAGGTAAGCTGAGCTCTTCTCTGCTTTGGGGGAAGCTTAAGCCCTCCAGAGTCCAGAGCAGGAGACCAAGAGTCAGCATTTTCCTACCACTTAGCTCTCCACCAAACAAATGGTTAGACAGGCTTCAAAAACAGTGAGGCCCATATTTATCCAAGGCACATACAACCTCTGCGCATTTTCTTTATGGCCAGATAAGTAGGGAAAAATCTGATTCTATGATGGGAAAGCACTCATTCATTGAGCAAATGCTTATTTAGCACTGTTTTAGGGGTTTGGGATACAGAAAACAAGTATAACCCTGCCTTCACGGAGCTTACAGGCTAGTGGTGGACAGTAAGTAAATGATCACATTAGTGAATATATAATTACAAACTAACATCAGGCTCTGAGGAAGAACTTCTGAGAACACATAAAAAGGATCCTACCCTATATACCGGGGCCATGGCAATAGTGATCACAAAGGGCTTGCTGTCTGGATGCTGGTAGTTGTTGACAGAACTAAGTCCTTGGTAGTCCCTCAGCAAGAAAGCTGAGACGTACATTTGAAAGATGGAGTCACACAGAGGGTGTGTGGTTCTGCAGAAGGCTGAGTCCCCTGCATTGGCAGGCAGATTCTCAACCACTGCGCCACCAGGGAAGCCCTGTTCTATGCCATCTTATCAAACAATTTGGGGGAGCCTTCTAGCAGGCCTCATTTAGCTCTTTAAGGAGGAAGCATGGTAGAAAGAGCAGGGACTTTGGAGCCAGAGCAACTGAGGATGGAATAGCCTTCAGCTGTATGACCTGACGAAAGTCCCTCAAATTTCAGGACATTAGTCTTCTCATAAAATGGAGATGACAATAGTTCCTCCACTTCATAGGACTATTATGAAAATAAATGTACTTTAATGTCCATTTCCATCTCTCTTCCAATGCTACCTGGAGTCAGATTCAAATGGGTTGAACCGAGAAGTGCTTGCTGTCTGAAGGGCAACGAGCAGCGCCATCCCTTCATGGGTCCAGGCTCTGAGGCAAATCACATGTGTGCTCACCTGGTCCCTTTCTCTCAGACAAGAAAAAAAAAAAACTACCCCTCTGAAATGAGGCAGAAATGAGTACTGGGGCAACCTCGAAGGGGATAAAATATGACAAAAGAGCAACATGGAGATTTAACGGCTCCATGGGGGAGATAGTAAATGGATAGACCCACCGCTGAGTCTCCTTATCCTGTTTTTGCAACTACTTGCCTTAAGTAATTTCATTAAGCCTGAAGTTACTCAACCTCACTTTTCTCTTCTGAAAGATAGGGATAATAGGAGTACTTACCTCCCTAGAGAAATATAAAGTTTAAACAAAACAGGTAATATGCTCATGCATAGCACAAGATTCAGCATATATTAGGCATTCAATAAATATTACCTGCTACTATTATTCATTTTTATTGTTACACACAGGGGACCCAGGGTATATGATCTGATTCTGTGTACTAAAATTGTAGGTAATAGATACAGCAATGGCCATCCCCTCCCTTACCCCTTCCTCTCTCTTGCCACCCTACTGTTGATATGTAGTAGCAGTTGTGTTAAGTTGTCTGCTATAAGGTCTAATTGACTTTTCTTCAGTTTTATATATGTGTATATTTCCATTAATGATGTACATTATGATTTCAGTGTGGTTTTCACTTTACATAAATTGTTATAATACTGTAAGAAAAAAAATAACAAGTATGTTTAGAATACGAATTGCTTCCAGATGACAAAATGGTTAATGGGAATAGAAGTGTTAAAAACGGATATTGCAGAATACAACTAAAGTTTGCATTCCTTCCCTCACTAGATAGCAGATAAACTCCATAATTGTAGGGCCTCATCCCCCTGAAAACTGACAAAGTATTTATTTGCAAACAGTTTCATTACAATATTTCATCAATTTTGCATTGGTAGATCATCTACCAGTTACTTTATCACTTGATCCCTTCTGCTCCTATAATCATCATTTGCCAGTTTCAGTTTCTGCTCCATTTGGAAACCATTGTGATGACTTCCTCACTCTCCTGGGGATCTGCTTAGCATATGACCATGGAGTCATCCTTGGGTTCTACATTCACTGCCCTCCAGCCCTCATTAAGCTTCTCATCATTTTTTCCCTCATGTTTTAGCCCTTTTACTTTTCTAAAATTTTGTCCTCCATGTTCCTTATTTCATAATTTCTCTTATTACTGTTATTACAGAATATCTCCATGTTTCTATATGTTCATGTGATATATTTCTTATCTATCATTAGACCAACCTGAATGTGGCAAAGGTTTATATTTCCTTTTGCTCTCTCAATTAAACATCAGAGATTCCAAAGTTGGTCTCAGAGTCTATTTGCTGTGTACATTAAAGTGGAAAGGATCATTTGTTTTATTGTGGTAAACTATACATAACACAAAATTTACCATTTTAACCATTTTTAAAATATACAGTTCAGTGCCATTAAGTACATTCATGTTGTGCAATCATGACCACTAGGAGTCATTTTTTTGAAGACGGGCAAGTTTTGGGGTGTCTACTTTTTCTTTCAATAATGAGCCCATACAATTAGAGTTTCATATTTTGCAGACCACATTAGTTTCAATCCATAACACTGGCAAAGTAGCATCTTTTAGCTATTAAAATTATGGATATTCAGCAGTAATACAAAGGTAATCCAAAAAGCACTGTATTTATGCAGAGATCAACAATTTTAGGTCTGGTGGTACTCACTCATCATTGTGAATCAAATCAATGAGAACTTTGGAATTTGACAGACTGAACTGTTTCAGTCAGACCACATCAAACTTCAACTCCAGGTTTGCAGCAAATGCAGCAAGGATAATGAGTGACTGTCAACTTCAATGTCAATGATTTCATGAAAAATAATATACCCTCATAGAGTCACATAAACTCAAATATGGCCCAAAGTTTAGTCCCATGGCCAGAGACTTCAGAATTATTTTAGAATTTACATATTTAGCTCCACATTTCCTAAGACAAGTTATCTTTTTGTTGTTCTTGTTTTTTGGTTTTTTTGTTGTTGGTGATTATTAATATACTTTATTATTTGTTTAACATCTTTATTGGAGTGTAATTGCTTTACAATGATGTGTTAGTTTCTGCTTTATAACAAAGTGAATCAGCTATACATATACCTATATCACCAAATCTCCTCCCTCTTGCGTCTCCCTCCCACCCTCCCTATCCCACCCCTTTAGGTGGTCACAAAGCACCTAGCTGATCTCCCTGTGCTATGCGGCTGCTTCCCACTAGCTATCTGTTTTACATTTGGTAGTATATATAAGTCCATGCCACTCTAACTTCGTCCCAGCTTACCCTTCCCCCTCCCTGTGTCCTCAAGTCCATTCTCTATGTCTGCATCTTTATTCCTGTCCTGCCCTTAGGTTCTTCAGAACCTTTTTTTTTAAATTCCATATATATGTGTTAGCATACGGTATTTATTTTTCTGACTTACTTCACTCTGTATGACAGTCTGTAGGAACAGTACAGAGGTTCCTTAAGAAACTAAAAATAGAACTACCGTACGACCCAGCAATCCCACTACTGGGCATATACCCTGAGAAAACCATAATTCAAAAAGAGTCATGTACCACAATGTTCATTAGCTCTATTTACAATAGCCAGGATATGGAAGCAACCTAAGTGTCCATCGACAGATGAATGGATAAAGAAGATGTGGTACATATATACAATGGAATATTACCCAGCCATAAAAAGAAAAGAAATTGGGTTATTTGTAGTGAGGTGGATGGACCTAGACAACTAATCTTAACAATGACCACAGATAAATTTTAGTTTAGTTTCTCTTCTGAATTGTAACTTCATTTCTGCTAAAGAACTCTGTAATCCTTCCCAACCTGTGAATTATAGATTTTTTAAATCTGTGGTTCCATTGAGTCTCAAATGAGTATAGTCTCTAATTTTCTCTATTCAAATCCACATGTCAAGTTTAAGACTGAATACTCTCACCTTGAACAAATCAGCAATGTCCTTATTTTAGGGGTGTTTTTGTTGTTTCAAGTTTAGTGTGTTTGGATAAGAAGCAGAGTCCTGTGAGTTACTGAGGTTCTAATAATTCAGGTATCACTGAGCACTTCATTCTCAGAAGCTCTTGATCTAAGGAAGCAGACTGATAAGTTTTTTCAATAAATATCCATAATCTAGCCATTAAAAAAGTGAAACATACACACAGTGCTTAAGGCCACAAGCATAAAAAAGGTCACGAGCATTGATCATCAATTCTCATCATACAAACTCCTTTTGTAGAATGTGATGGACACAAATAAACAAATGAAAACTAACTTTATCCTTCTATTATATCTATAGCAAATGAACTCAGCTTTGCTACGTTAGATAAAATTCCTCAGATTCCTTGAAGGCATATACTTTATGTGTGCTTACTCATCAAGAAAAATATATTTACATCTTAAGTGAGTCACACTCCAGGGTCTGGTGGAACACATTCAATTTGAGGGTTGCATGTTACGAGCCCCTAAAAAATTGGAGACACTTTCTTAAAGGTGTCTAGACTTTTCTAGATGACCTTCAGGCCCTTAAGAAGGCTAGACAAGAATTATCTCCCAGGACCAGAATTATTCAAAGGAGAAACAACCTGTAGATGGGAATGGGACAACTAAGCAAAAACAGAAATTTTGTCTTCTTTTTCATACTTGATTACATGCTTGATTCCAGTTGGACCATGGGGGTCTATCTTCAAGAATAGATAGGTTTCTTCTCAGTGTCTATACTCAGAGCAGGAAAAAGCAGATACACCACTTCTCCACTTTCTAGTGTCATGTCTGCTGACACCCTGTTCAGTCTTCTTTCAAAGCTTGCTGTGATTCCAACAGGGCAGAAATTCCCAGTACAAAGCGAAATTTTCTCAACAGGTGGAGATATTATAAGGGAGGAACATTAGAGACTCCTTCATCAGGTGAAAGTACCCAAAGATAAGCCTGCTCACATCAAAAGTTGCAAACAGACAATATGTCTCTACGTCTCTTAAACCTTGAGCTAAAAAGCTTTATTCAAAAAAACAAAATATTTTTCTCTATAAAATGAGCTGCAACACAACTGATTTTCCAAAACTGGAAGTTAGGAGTTGCCAATATTAAAAATTTAGAAGATAATGGTTTCAAGAAAAGCCAATGTTTCCCCAAGTTTAAGTAAGAATAAAACTATTTAAAAATGATTAGTATTGCCAGAATTTATCATCTAGAGGCATGTGTATTTATGTGTTTTCAACAACAGATTTTGTTAATGGCATCTTTGATTAAAGGAATCTGAAACACTGAAGTTGTGTTTCCTACCTGTGACTCCCTAGTCTACTTTACATGAATACTTGTGTTAAATTAAAAAATACCTCTTGAGATGCTTTCAGCATTTTACTAGGGTCTTTAAGATGAAATTGTGACAAGGGGTAAAGAGTTCAGTGGTTTTCCTTACCTTGCTAAAATGCAGTTTCATTCTTCAGAGGTATAAATGGAGATCACCTTCAAAGACTCTTTATTACCCTGAAGACATGTGACACTTGAGACCCATGGATAGTTGTATCTGTCAATACAAATAGCTCCCAAATAACTTCAGGAACCAAAGCTTATTTTTTCTTCTTTTTTTAGGGTTTTTTGGTTGGTTGGTTGGTTGGTTTGTGAGCTAAGGATTACATAGTCAGAAGAAAAACAAGTTTTAAATGAGGGGTAGGGTCCTTGAAAAAAATAAGACGTATACCCTAGGTGAAATGGGTAAATACCACTAGTCTATTAAGATATGGCTGTCAATACAAGAACACAATAGTCAGCTTTGCTGTAAAAAATAAATCTAGTTGGATAATAGTGGGTTATAATGTGCAGAGTTACATAACTTCCTCAGGAACAAAATCTTAGCCTTAAGTGGAATATAATTCACTATTTCTTGAAAGGTGGCTTTTTCATTGTTGTTTTTCCCTCATTACTATTCCTAGAAGAACTGAGTAGGCTCCCAAGAAGAAGTTAACTTGGTGGGGGAAAAAAAGCTCAAAAGAATGAAACAAAAACTGATTCCAACTATAAGTTCGACATCGAGTAAAATAAGGAAGCTCTAATCTCTTAGAAAACAGGTATAAAACTGTTGGATAATCCTTACATGTCACATAGATTTTCAGGTATTTTCATATAGACATTTTTCAGCTATTCCTAAAAAGTTCTGATTTCGTGTATTCTTTCCCATTGTCAGATATATCAACCAAAGTCTTTGAAAACTATATCATTTTGTGTGTTCCTTATTACCATTGAAGGTAGGCAAAAAAGTTATAACTATCATTTGACAAACAGGAAAGAACTATATTTCAGAGATGTGTTAAGACTATCTATCTGACAAAGCCAGAAGAACTTCAGATTACTGGTATAATACTTTCTCTGAGTATATTCCACCTTCTGTTGAGAGGAGTTCTTTTATGCTGGTTTGGTAGCCTCCAAATTCACCACCAGGTAATTTAAGATGACCCCAAGTTCTTTGATTTGTGAATGAAAGTTTATTAGTTAAAATTTGTTAAAACACGTAACAATAAAATGGTATGGACCAATAGCTAATAAGGACTATATTCAGTTATAATCTAATAACTAGCAGTAATCATCATACATAAGAATACAACTAAAAAAAATAAAATATAAAAAAAGAATGCAACTTATGTAGTTACAACTTCCCACACATTTAGCCAAAGCACACAGGGATGAATTAGATGCTTCCTAATTCACTGCAATCTACCAGCCTATCTCCCTTAGTTTTCACACCTTAAATTTGTCTTCGAATGGTGAGCCTATCCCCCTCTCTATCCCTCCATGCCATACAAGAATTGACTTTGGTGTTGTTCTCAGGAAGATCCAGAAAAGTTTGGATAAAGGACTGGAGGGGAGACACAGGATTCCAATCAGAGGTATCCAATCAGTGGACTGCCAAGTTAGTTAATCCATCTTCCTCTAACTGGGCTTTTAAGTGCATGACCTGTGTCAATTGCCAACCAATTATTTCTATCAATATTAACAACTTAGGGTTGTCTAATTTGCGTATGACAAAAACAAGGCTTGGTTCATAAATGCGATTAGGAACTAACTCTATACCATGGTTTTCCACCATAAACTGCATAACTGTTGACGACTTGTTACTTTTCTTCTCTCTCCTAAAAATACCTTCCCTACTAGCTCTTATTCCTAAGTATGTTCTTACTTCCTGCACTTATTTCTTATCACTATTAACTTTACTTTTAATTCTGTTCTGTAAGAGCAAACATACTTAATACAACAATCCATTGCTTGGAGCAAGGTAACAATCTTAACAATTCAAAAACATATAATCACACAATCAAAGCAAACATTGCAATATATTTTATCTAATCCCAAGGTGCCATTATAGTATAATCTTTCCAGGTGAACCCATCTAGCCAAGAGGCTAGATAGTTCCACATATTACACTGTTGTAGCACCTTCCCGTTTGACACCTAAGGACCATGTTGACTATTACGTGTTTTATAGGCTGGTTCAAGCTTTATCTTGTTTCAATGTCTGGAGTAGTCTCACAGATTTCTTTTGATGTATTTTGATGACTTGCTTGAGTAAGTATGGTTGATTGTGTTCTCTCATTACTACTAACAATTTTAACAGGCTCACTAATCTGTTGTGGAATTGTTATGAAGTCCATATTCTAGAGTTCTACTTGGAAGAATAGCTACCCTTCAGTATCCATCTTATTTGAGGTGTACCAGATCTTTCCATTTACAGTTAAATTGCTCATCAAATAGAATTCATAGCAGATTGATGTTCTCTCCTTGGATATGTTTCCTGATCTTGCACAAGTATTTATGCCTTGAGTTTCATTTTGACACAAAGTTATAGCCCTATTTCCTGAAGTCCAAATTTCTAGTGGAGAGTGTATATCTTCCCTGACTGTTTCTAAACCTTTAATTAAAGCATAGATTCTATCTTTTAACTTTTATCCAGGTACTCTGTTATTCTTCTCCTTGGTTGCTACATATATAGATTTCCTTATTTAACTCTAATCACTATTTTTCCTTATAAAACTGCTCCTATTGGAATGGTGGGATAAATGGTTACTTCTTGTTTTCCCACTGCTCTATTTAGGTTAATCGGCATAGTTCCTTTGCACTGCATCTATTATTTACCACTTTGGACATAGTGTATAGAGTGGCCTACCCTGGGCAAGTAAGGCTCAGTTTGTCCAGTTATTGCAGCAGTAAAGTCCCTCAATCTGCTGTCTGGTATGGCTTGTAATTATCCACAGTAGTTGCTTGTAATATAACTTTTATTTCTACTCTTTGTGTCTTTGTTCACCCCTCTAAGTCTCCTGGATCCTCACCTACTCTATCAATCTTCCCACGTAGCAGTGTACTGTGAAACTTTCTCATACTAATATTTTTCAGTAGCTCCATAAGTTCTTCTGATTTTCAAAATGGTCTCTAAAAATACAACAAACTAGTGAATATAAAAAAACAGAAGCAGACTCACAGATATAGAGTGGTTACCAGTGGGGAGATGGAAGAGGGAAGGGGCAAGATAGGTAGAAGAGTAAGAGGTATAAACCATTAGGTGTAAAATAAGCTACAAGGATATATTGTACAGCACAGGGAATATAGCCAATATTTTATAATATCTATAAATGGAGTATAACCTTTAAAAATTGGGAATCACTATATTGTATACCTGTAACATATAATATTGTACAGCAACTATATTTCAATTAAAAAAAATTTAAGAGTCTGTGTAAAAAAAAGTAAAAAAAGGAGTCTGTAGCTTTTCTCGATACAGCAATCTTTTTTTAACTTTTATTAAAGTATAGTTGCTTTACAATGTTGTGTTAGTTTCTGGTGTAAAGCAAACTGATTCAGTAATACATATATATTCTTTTTCATTACAGGTCATTACAAGATACTGAATATACTTCTCTGTTCCCTGTGCTATACAGTAGGACCTTGTTGTTTATCCATCCTATATGTAATAGTTTACATATACTAATCCCAAACTCCCAGTCCTTCCCTCCCTCATCCCCCTCCCACCACATCTTCTTTATTCATTCATCTGTCGATGGACATTTAGGTTGCTTCCATGCCTTGGCTATTAGCTATCTCTTTCTTAAATTTGTTAAATAAACTTATCCTGAAATTCAGTGGCAAAACTGACTTATGTTTCTCCTGCTACTGCTCATCCAAATAAGACCTGGTTATACAGTCTATAATTTTCCCCATTTACTTTTAAAGGTAGCTAATAATCTGTGTATGCAGAGCTCACTTAGTATTAGATGCAGCATCTGTCATGTTGGTTAGCTCTGAATCCATCTGTATTAAAAGTCTTTTTAATCCCTTTGACTATAATATACTTTAGGACTCTATGTAAATTGGTATAATCTGGTTTCCCACGAATGTGGATTGACTTCTACATGTCATTTCTTCACAATTTTCATATATCACTTTGTCTAATGGTATACTTCTATGTCTTTACCTAGTTGTTGCCCATATTGTAAGATGCAAAGGCCATTCTCTAGGAAGAAGGACCGTAATGTCCACAGGCTTGTATGAAAGGTAGCTATTCTTCCAAATGGAAGTAAGGGTACCCTATGGCATGCAATTAGTATGATCAGTGAATTTCCTGAATGTGTATTTAGTCCCTCTCTGTTTTGATATGGGGGTCTTCCAACTATTGCATTTCCCCCCTCTGGTAGCTGTAGAATTACTGTGGGTATAACCAGTCCACATTTTGTTTAAAATCATTATTGCTCCCATTTCTCAGTAGTAAAGATTTCTGTCAAGGTTGAAGCAGTTTCCCTTATAATAAGCCTATCAGCTATTCTTTATAAATGTAGTTATACCCAAGAAGGTGTACTTTATCTGCTTCTACTTGTGGACCATCATCTCTAAGCCTATGCCATAAGTGTTTGACTTTTCCATAGGCAAATAGTCCTTGTTAGGGCTTTGTCTAGCCCTTCTAGTACTAGTACTTCTCTCCAGTTGTTATTTGGTGTAACTTGCCATTTCCATTTGAGCAACAATGTTGCAGAGTAGTTGTGATATGGGTCAGCATTTGAGGGAACAGTCCTGTATTGGAACTTCCTGGCCTCAGCTTTTTCAAAGGTTTCTCCCAGGCAAAAGTTATCTGTAAAGCTTTCTGCAGTTTTATTATCTGGTAGATGGCTGATTTTTAGAATTATTTCCCCCAGTCTACTACAGCATCCTTTGGCTGACACATTCTGTCCGAAAGGCCTAGTAAGTAGTTCTATCTTTTCAAGTAAAAGTGCCCCAATATTGTCCTATTAATGTGACTGTATTCACTATACTGCCATCCTGGAGGATATTCCCCTTTTAGTTTCCACTCATTGTAGAATGGTGAAATTGGGTCTCAAGATGTGATAGAGTTCATCAGGTCTTCACTCTATTGTTAGGTAAGGAGTTTCTTTTCTTTGCTAGTGTTTGCTCCTATTATCAGGAATCCTAACAGGAGAACAAGTACAGGTAAAGAAAGAACCCTACTGCTAAAGTCAGAGCTTTTCGTATAAATAAATACAAAGAAGAAAAGAGACCAGCCTCTGCCAGAAGCCAATCAAATAGTGCTTGTTCTATAATAGATTAGTAATGAACCTGGGCAAAACTTGGAGAAAAACTGTTATTGCTAACATCCCGAAAAATTAGAATATATTTGACACAGAGAAATGATCAGTTTTCACATGCTGGTGGAGGCAAATGAGGTTTTAGCTACTTAAGTCATTGTTAATACTAGAGAGTGCTTCTTCATATAATTCTGTGTCTAACATAGGTTGATCTGTATCAAAGGTTAAGTCTCCGTCTTCTCTTTGTGTAAGTATCGATTCTAAGTCTGGGAGATCAGCAAGGTCTGGTAGTGAAGCTTCCTCGGAAAGAGGTGCATCTGTTTCTATCTGTTCTGCTCTGTCATCTTGCTCTTCACAAGGAACTGGTTCTTGTGAAATCAACCGTAGAAGCTCTTCAGCTATTCTAACTAACTGGGCTACACAATCAACAAGTCCACCAACTAGTACAGGGGTTGACACAGACTCCATTCCTCTGTGCTTTCCTCAGTAGATAAAATATTACTAAAAGTTGTAGTAAATGGGCTCTTGGTGACAATGGATCCTATGGAGCTGGCAATGGTCCTGTGGTTGGTTTGGTTGAGAAATGAGGCTGTTGATATGATGATGATGATGATGATCAAGTACAGAATGAGGCCAGTGGTCCTACAGTACCTTTTGATAAATTTGGTGAACCTTCCACAAAATTTACATGTGGTTCTCTTGTTTGTGTTGGTAGTGAACTGCTATTATAATGACCATCAGACAGATTGCCACAGCCAAGAGAAAACAGAAAAGCAGATCTAATAATAGAAAAGAGAAATATAAAGTTAGTATCCTTGAGCCTTTCTCCATCATACAGTTTCTGGCTATAGGATAACGTTGAAAATGTACCCCTAGCTATTGCTCGTTTTTTTCTTTTTTTTTTCTTTCTTTTTTTTTTTTTTTTCAGTACGCGGGCCTCTCACTGTTGTGGCCTCTCCCGTTGCGGAGCACAGGCTCCGGACGCGCAGGCTCAGTGGCCATGGCTCACAGGCCCAGCCGCTCCACGGCATGTGGGATCCTCCGGGACCGGGGCACGAACCCGCATCCCCTGCATCGGCAGGTGGACTCTCAACCACTGCGCCACCAGGGAAGCCCTACTCCTCGTTTTTTGATGGCCTTATGAGGCTCTACTACTCATAGTCCCCTTTACACTTCTCATGGTCTTTACCTCTTATGGGATTTGAGAACAAAGTGAGCATAGGTAGTTTGTCTATCTTTCTTGAACATCTCTATTGAGGAGGATACATATACTCAGAGTCTTTCAATTAATCCTGTTTTATTAGTACCTTTGCCTCATTTCCATTTATATCTGGTGCTGCTAAGTTCTTTCTGTGTTTTTAATAATTCATTCATTAAAGTTTCCGATTGCCCCTGCAGTCTGGGGAATTTATGGTAAATGAAAGTCCCACATTCTCTGTCTTTTCCCAAATTTTATATAACTTCTGTTATAAAATTAGTTCTTTGGTCATTTCCTATCACTGCCAATATTCCATATCTAGCAGCTATTTCTCCTAAATTTGTCTAAAGCCATGGTCATACTATTCTCATCTGTATGTCTGAGTGCTCTACAAGCCCTATTCCTAAGTTTATACCTCTTTAAGGTAATATTCCTTGTTTAAAAATCTAGAGAATGGCCCAATATAATCTGCCTATCACATTTGTCTGGTTTACCATCCCCCATTCCCCTTAAAAATGAGTTTGTTGAGGCTTCAAGATTTTAGTAATTCAACATAGCTCATATTGCTTACTCATTTCTTTGATTCATAGTTTTTTTTGTCCACTCTTTCCCCTCTGCTTACCTAGAATATTCATGTCCACATGCCCTGAGCTTTCACATGCCCAATCTGCAACCTTAAATTGAACTGAAAAGGGACCTGAGTTGAGACTTGGAGTTCCCAAGACTGCAGAGTCTGTATTAGTTTTGGCGGGGGTCAAGACTGTCTCCTCTCTTATTCTAAATAGATTATTCTGTCTTTCCATTCTGATGAGCTCGTACATGTCCTACATGAATTGCTAAATTTCTTTCATTGATTTCTTTTCATATCTCCCTTCACCAGATTGTTTTTTCCTGCAGTAAATTTCTGTAATTTTCTGTAATTCTGTAATCCTGTAATTTTCTATTTATTAGAATATATATCTCAAGTCCACAGCTGATTAGTGTAGCTATGTTCTTTTGGCCAGTTGTTTTCTTGGGCATATATACACATTAAATTTCTAGCTAGCAGTCCTGCAAATTGAGCTGGTTTCCTCTCTCCAGCCTCAGTCAAGTTTTTCCCAGTGGAGAGTACTAGGAAGCAACCATCCACCTCCTTCTTTTAGGATACTGCCAAATCTATCTTTGCCCTGTTTCCAGCAGTTCTGACCAGAGTGGGGCCCAGCAAGCCACAAGCTTCACCACAGCGACTTGTACTCCTTAGGCCTTTACTGGAGTAGAGCAAATCATCCGCCAGATGGTCTGTGATTTTCACATGGAGCTTGCTAGTTTCCACAGGGTATGGTTTGACCCACTCAGTTATATACTATCTTCACCTAGCATAAGTCCTATCAGAACCTCACTTTTTTTTTTTCGCCCAAAATCCTGACAGTAGACATGGGGTTTGCCCTGATGATAAGGGTCCTAACCATAATAACCAGAAGGCATGATTTTGGCTGGAGGCAACTTCCATCTGAAATATGGGAGAATCAGTACTAGATGCATGGCAGTTCATTAACTCACAGGATCTCTGTTTTTGATTAGAGAAAAAGCAATCTAGTGGAAGGAAATAATGGTAAAAAATCACGAGAGGAATTTGGCATTAATGTAGAGCATGAATCAGCTCATCAGAAGAAAGACACAGAAGTAAGGTGTGTGTTAAATAGTAGTAGAGATGAGCACCATCAAACTTTTCAAAGGAAGCAATAAACTACTACAGTGCCCACAGCCCAAGGGCACAAGAGGGTAATAGGAACATACTCACACAAAACCTATTTAACTTCTGGCTTCCCTTTCACCCAGTTTCTTTTCTCAGCTTCTCTACCTCCCTCTAGGACTCTGTTATTAATCTTCTTTGTCAATACACCTCCATTTATTCACCTATGTGTTTCATTCTATTCCATTCTCTCTGTATCTCCATCTTACACTACCCCTTCCCATCATCTTTTCTTCCATCTCTCCCTAAGCTGGCCAAAATTTAGAAACAAATTATAGTCCATTAATCAAATAGATGTATTTACAGAGTTTTACAAGACACAATCTAAATGTAAAAAGCGGAGAGGTAGAACACTTCATATGTTGCTATCTTATAAAGACAAATGTAGTTATCTATTATTTATGCAACCCTTGGTTTATTTTTTCTATCTCTTGGTCACCTTTGATGGGAAAAAAAACATTCCTGACCTAGCCTTAACCCTGTTGACCACTGTGTTAGCTAATCCACAATTCCTATCTTCAAAGCATCTTGGAACCTAGGAGCTGGGGATGGGGCGAGGGCAGGGAGGGTGTTGAGAAATTAGCGAGTACTGCAGTGCTAGGAAATAGTAAGAGTATAGCATCAGCTTATTCCAGTTACGATAATTTCCAAAGCAACCAAACCCTGAACCTAAGTTGTTTGCTTAAAGGTGTATTTTGGATAGTTTGCACCTAGCCCCAACTCACCTTAAGGACCCTTTTATTAGCTGCTCCTTCTGCCTAGAATCCCTTTCCCCCAGAAAAAAAAATGGCTTCTTGTCATTCTGGTCTCAGCTTAAATATCATCTCCTCAGATTTCAGACCCTCCAACCTGAAAAAGCCTCTTAATCATCCCTTTCTCGTTTTGCATACAGCGCATTTTTACATTATAGCACCTATGATCACCTCATATTTTCTTGTTTATTCATTTGTTTTTCTGTCTGTCACCCCACCCCACATACATATAGACTAAAATGAAGTTCCATGAGATTAGGAAGCATGTCTGTTTTGTTTTCTGCGGTATATCCAAGGCATAGAAGAAAGGCTGCTGCATAGTAGGTAACTGGTAAGTATTGTTAAAGAAAGAAAGGAAAGAAAGAAGGGAGGGAGGAACAACTTTTAACTCTTTCATTCAGTAAATATTATCGTGTCAAATATTCATGCATAGGGCTTTCCTGGTGGCGCAGTGGTTGAGAGTCCGCCTGCCGATGCAGGGGACATGGGTTCGTGTCCCGGTCCGGGAAGATCCCACATGCCTCGGAGCAGCTAGGCCCGTGAGCCATGGCCGCTGAGCCTGCGCGTCCAGAGCCTGTGCTCCGCAACGGGAGAGGCCACAACAGTGAGAGGCCCGCGTACCACACACACACACAAAAAAAACAAAAACAAAATATTCATGGATAGCAGGGGGTACAAAGATAAAACAATTCATCAAAACACATGGTTAATAAAATGAGCAGGCAATGCACAGACAGAGAAAATACTCACAAAAAATATATCTGACAAAGAACTTGTAACCAGAATATATAAAGAGCTCCTACAACTCAATAATAAAAAGACAAACAAACCAATTAAAAATGGGCAAAAGAGTTGAACAAACATTTCACAAAGGAAGAAAAATAAATAGCTAATAAACACATGAAAACATATTCAATATCATTAGTCATCAGGGAAATGCAAATTAACATCACAATGAGATACCACAATACACTCACTGGACTGGTTAAAATTAAAGACTGACAACATCAAAGGTTGACAAAGAGGTAGAGGAACCAGAATTCTCACACATGCTTATGGGAGTATAAAATGATACAACCTCTTTGAAAACGTCTGGCAGTTTCTTATAAAACCAGGCAAGCACCTATCCAGTCCCGGCAATTCTACTCTGAGGCATTTACCCAAGAGAAATGAAAGCTCACAGAAAGATTTTTATAAGAATGGTTATAGCAGCTTCATGCATAATAGCCAAAAAAAGTGGAAAGAGCCCAGATGTCAATCAAAAGGAGAATGGATAAACAAACTGTGATATATTCATACAATATGATACTAATCAGCAATAAAAAGAAAGCCACTACTGATAGGGATAACAACATGGATGGATATCAAAAACATTGTACTTAATGAAAGAAGCCAGACACAAAAGAATATATATTGTACGATTCTATTCATATGTAATTCTAGAAAATGCAAAATGATCTACGGTGGAAAAATCCAAATAGCAATTGCATCTAGGGGAGTGGAAACTGACTGGAAGAGGCTAAGAGAACTTTCTGAGGTGATGGTTTATACAAGATTACGCATTTTTCAAAACTCACTGAATGGTACTCTTAATATTTGTGCATCCCGCTGTATGTAAATTTTACTCACCCCCAAAAGGTGACCAAGCATGATCCCCAGCCTTAAAAACTATATATCAGATGAGATGACATGGCCTAAGTATTCTAATAAATGTTCACATTTACTGAAGATCTATTACACTTCGGGTACTTTCTTTTTTAATATTAGAACATTTAATCTACTTGATAACCCTGTGACATTACAGATGAAAAAACTGAGGAACAGAGAAATTAAATAAATTGCCCACCGCCACATGGTAAGTGAAGACACAGAATTGGAAGTCAGCCCAGGTATGATTCCTAAAGTCCTGTGCCAGAGGGCACAAATTCAGGTGCCTATAGGAGGAAAATTTGCCTCATTCAGGCCAGAGCTGACATCGCATTCTAAGCAGGAATAGAACTCAAAATGTTAATCTCATTTCCCATCCCTGGAAACTGGCTGAATTCCAAGTTGACTGTGAGTCCCAAAGCAGAGGGATGGAGAGAGCCAGCTCAGTCCCCTCAGCAATCTCCATCATCTGTGACAGGAATGTTGTGTCCATTTTACCTGCCCTTCCCCTGACCTACTGAATTGGCCCACTCATAAACTACTCACCTGTGATAGAGCCAAGATGGATGAGAGGGTCAAGGTTATGCCTATCAAATGTTTACTGGACTTTCGCTTTCAAATGGGATGTGAATGCTCCTGTCACAACTAAAAAACAACAACAAAATGATCAACTACAAAATTAATAGGTTTTAAAGATTATGTGCGATCTGTGGAAACAAGGACAAGATGAACTAAAATTTCAGAGAGTGAAGAGTCTTTCGTAAGAATGCTGATAATCACAGACTTTTTTTCTTCACTGAGACATTTGCTAATTCTGGGCACAAGTTGAAGATGAGGTTTGGCACCAAGGCAGAGGGAGTCTACTGAGGAAAATGAGAAATCTGCGTAAAGGTTGAGGCTAGCATAATGGATTGGAAATTTGAGAAGCCTGAAATGCAGGGCTAATTTTCCTCACCTGAAGTTAGCTGAGTTCTAGCCTAGCACATGCGTGGAAAAGTCTGAGTGAAGTCTCCCAAGCCTCGCGGTACTTTGGAGACAAATTCTCACTAGAGGGAGGGAGACTGCCACAAATACACTACTGGTCTCTCCCTCAAACAATTTTGAAGTTGAGAAGACAAGGGGAGGCTAATGAATTAATAAGCTCAAAACCATCCCCAAAGGGCATTTTAGGCAAAGTGATTCTAAAATGTATAAGGATATATAAAGGGCTTAGTATAGCCAAAACATCTTAAGGAAGAACAAAATTGGAGGACATATACTACCAGATATCAAGGCTAGCTATGCAGCTACAGTTATACAACAGCATGGTACTGACACAAGAACAAACAAATAAATCAGTGGAACCATGACGCTTACCTCACACTGGATATAATAATAATAATAATGATAATAATTTGAAATGGACCATAGACCTAAACATGAAAGGTAAAACAGTAAATCTTCTAAATCAAACCATTGGCAAATATCTTCATGACCTTCAGTAGTTAAAGATTTCTTATTCAACACAAAAGCATTAACTATGAAAAAAGATTGATAAATTGGATTTCATTAAAATTAAGAGCTTCAATTTATCAAAAGACACCTTAAGAGGGTGAAAAGGCCAACTACAGATTGGGAGAAAATATTCACAATACATATATTTAACAAAGGACTTGTATCTAATATATACATATATTTTAAACTCCTTCAAATCAATAAGAAAAAAAACAGTCCAATTTTTAAAAATAGAACAAAGAATCGAATAGCACTTCACAGATGAGAACTTTCAAGTGGCCTACAAACATATGAATAGAGTTTCATCATTATTGCTCATGAGGAAAATGCAAATTACACACAAAACCCCACCAGAATAGCTAAAATTGAAAAAACAGAAAAAAAACTGACAATACCAAGCACTGAGAAGAACATGGAGCAACTGGAACTCTCATACATTATTGGTGAAAGTGTTAACTGGTACAACTTCCTTGGAACTGTTAGGCAGTATCTACTAAAACTAAACATACCTCTATTGAATGGCCTTGTCATGCTACTCCTAAGTATATAAAATAAAAGATTACAAATGTCCACAAAAATACACGTACGAGAATGTTGAAAGAAACCAGATGCCTAAAAGTACATACCATATAATTCCATTTATATGAAATTTAAGATCAGGCAAATGTATCTGTAGAACAAAGGTGAATGTAGTAGTTACCTCTTGTGGGGGGCGGGTGGTTACTGACTGGGAAGAAATGTGAGGAAGCCTTCTGGGATGCTGGAAATATTCTGTCAATATAATTACGTATGTTTTTTTTTAAAGCATTCAGCTGTACCCTCAAAATTGATGTATTTCACCTTATGTATGCTGTAGCTCAAAAAATTGTTCTTTTTTTAATTTTGGGTTTCCTTCCTATAAAACCAGTAAGGACAGCAAGACAGTGATGAGAGCCTTGTCAGGGTTCAGCAAGCTGGTCATCACAGAATGGAAATGGAATGAAGTCTGAAGGTACAGAGAAGGGTCCTTGGCCTACTTCATGGCAGAGCTAAGTAAAGCAAGAGACCCTTGTAGCTGGATGCAGTTGTAAATTGACAGAAGATGAGATAAGCCACATCTTATAAGTAGCTCAGAAAGACGGCTGGGGCAGAGGCCATGCTGTCTATCTGATAACTAGAATCTTTAACCCCGTAGACTTTTATTAATCTCACTCTTATAACATTTTTGTCAGCACAACTAATCAAAAGCCACCAGTTTTCTTTTAGCAGACAGTCCTACCCTGCTATTTTGTGATGCTCGTAGCTGGCAAACTGGCAATAAGTGTCTAACAGTAGGGTGGAAAAGGAGCAAAGGAATCCAAATCCTCTGGGTCTATGTTTATAGTTGATAAGTTTCTCCGCATCAGGCAAGGTAAATTAGTTCATATCCAACGGGAAGAGAGGCAGTTATATGGGAGAGATTAAAATGTGCCTTTGGTGAGTATAGGTGCCAGCTTCCTATTTACAAACAGTAAATTTTTTAACAATGCTCCCATTTCTAATGCTGCAGTACCATTTGGATACATGCATTCAACACAGCTTTTTTTTAAAACACCCCCAACAATACTGTAAAGTAATTATACTACAATAAAGATATTAAATAAATAAATAAAATAAAAACACCCCCCAGACGCTACTTCTCATTGCCCTCCCCACCCCTGAGGAAACATCAAGAGGGCCTTGTTCCCAAAGGGCAAATTTTATAATTTTGACATAGCAGGAGCTCTCTGAGGGGCTACAATGAACAAAGCAACAGGATCCACCCTTTAAACTCTTTTTTTTTTAAAGAAAAATAAAAGCTACCATCCTTTACGTTAAAAAAAATTTTTTTAAACTGTGTGCAATAAGGCATTTGCCTGTTATAGGATCTGACATTTAAAATCCCCATGAACCATATTTAATTTATCAAGAAAGAAAGGAAAGAATTGTGTGGCTGAAGAGCTAAACATGGCCCCTTCTTGAAAATATATGAAAAATTCAAAACAGAAACTGAAAAAATGGAGGGTAGGAAATGTCCTTATGGTCAATTTAGACCAGATTCTACTGAATTACTTTCTTCCTCCTCCAAAGTTGCTCACTGCTGCAGAGAGAATCACAGATTCTTGCTTACCCTTCGGAAAAACAACTTCGTCACTGGAGAAAAACAGCCACTTTTGAAAATATATCTCTTGGTTATTTTCCTAGACAGACAAATAGTTTCCTCAGTCTTCAAACATGAGGACAGCAACCCCATCCTGACTTGGTGGGACTCTGCACCGGCTTGTCCCTGAATCTCGGCTATTATGAGAAACCCACAGGCTCCCAGAGAGCCTGAAAAGAGCTGTAATGCTTCCAGAAAGATTCTTGGCTTTTAAATATTACCAGTGCAGAAGGTGAGGTCTAATATAAGGGAAATAAAAACAAAACTTCGAGGTAAAAGGAAAAGGGATTTTATTCCCGAGTCTTCCCTCAGCTTTCTGAGAGGGAAAAAGAAAATTGTTTTTGTTTGTTTGTATATTTTCTTTGGGAGACACGGTAAAATGATGCTAGTGGTTGTAATAGTAGGATCTGTGTCAAACAGATCTATATTTGAATTATAAATTTTTCACTTACTAACTAGACTTTGCTAAACTACTCTGCCTCAGTTTCCTCATCTGTAAAACGAAGATAATAAAAGTTGTGAGAATTACGTGAGTTAACACATGCAACGAGTTTAGAATGGTGCCTGGTATATAATAAGTTCTTCATAAATGCTAGCTAATATAATTGTTCTGGAGAAAATTCTGGGATCCAGGAGACAGTGTGTGGTGCATCCTGGGTACTGACTAGTGATCCCTGGAAGGTGGAGGGGGCAGTCAGGGTGAGACAACTGCAGGCATTACAGAAACTGGAAGGAAGTACCAGAGATATGTCATCTCATAGTTAGAACCAACATGACTATACACTTGGATAAAGATGTGAGGGAGCAAGACTGTCTTGTGGCTCTAATTCACACATAACCCTTTCGGAAGACGTAAGACCAGTCACGTAGGGACTCCTTGAGGATTAGTGGATCTTCCTGGCCTACTTCACTCTCCCCTTTGAAGCCCTTGCTCACTCTGGCTCTGAGCTCTGGCAGGTGAAAACTGACTACACTTCAGGCTGCCCATTGGTTATTCCTCCCACACATTGCAAGCTGCATGGAGAAGGCCCTCCACTTGGTATTATGGCAATGAATCTTTCAAAGCATTAACTAGCTATTCCTTGGAAACATCCCCCGTTGACCCTTGAACAACACGGGGGTTAATCCACCTATAACTTACAGGTGGCCCTCCACATCCGTGGTTCCTCCACATATGGCGATTCAACCAACCATAGCCCATGTAGTTCTGTAGTGTTTATAATACTATTGAAAAAATCCGCATATAAGTGAACTGTTCAAGGATCAACCGTACCTGGAAAGTAACTGGCAAGATAATGAAGGCCATGACCTCGTGTCTAGAAAGGCTTCACCTGAACCAGCCCAGATTCTCAGCTCTTCCTATGTGAATCATTTGGGTAAGAAAGGAAGCATCATACAAATACCATTGTATACTTTGTATCCCTTACCATCCTAGCCCAGATTTAGTACTGAGCTTCAAGAATACCTCTCAGAAATTTGACAAGAGCAAGACAAAGCACCAGTAGTGGCCTCCTCTCGGTTTCCGTGGCAAATGCCAGCTTGCCAGGAGAGACCCAGTTCATTTATTTTACCACCTGGAAAGAAGATCAGAAGTCATACATTTCTTCCTTCTGCCTGCAAATGTACTTACTGCTTATCCACCAAAAGAAAACTGCTTCTGTTTTCAATGGTCTCAAAATAAGATTCCATAACCTCCCTTGGTAGCTCATTCCAGTGTTTCATAGCTTCCTCCTTCTGCTAATTATATCCTCAAGTACCCTCACATACATTAACTTATTTAATCCCATAACAATCCCGCACAGCAAGGATTATCCCTATTTTACAGCTGAGGAAGTGAAGAACCAAAGAGGGTAAGAGATGTGCCAAGATTACATATCTGGTTAGTAGCAGAGCAAGAGTAAGAATCTGATTCTTCAGCCTCTCAGCCCTCTGTGCTCTCCCTTACACTGTGGTCTGCCTAGTGATGCTCTGGGGAGTTCCAAATCACCAGCAGAATATGAAGCAGTGTTAAGATGTCAACAAGAACACAATACAGCTGTGGTGGGTGGCTTACCAAGTGGATTGTAGGCCACAGGCCCCCTTGAGGATAACCATTTCATTGCCCTCATCCCTCAATACTATTGTTCTCAGAGTGTACCTACAGTTAGAACGTTCTAGTAAAAAGAAAAGATACCAAAAACCTAAACGAACATTCAAATCACCTTAAGACCATATGCTGACCTATGAAAATTAAAAATAAGACAAGAGTACTTGGTCTCCTGTTTTCAAACTTCTCCATTTTTGGCCTCTCACTGTTGTGGCCTCTCGCGTTGCGGAGCACAGGCTCCGGACACGCAGGCTCAGCGGCCATGGCTCACGGGCCCAGCCGCTCTGCGGCGTGTGGGTCCTCCTGGACCGGGGCACGAACCTGCGTCCCCTGCATCGGCAGGCAGACTCTCAACCACTGTGCCACCAGGGAAGCCCAAACATACGTTTAATTAAATATAATGGCCACTCCACCTAACTACCCTTGCTTGTCAAAGTTGCCAGTGACTTCCACACTACTAAATTCAGTGGTTAATTCCCAGTTCTCATCTTGCTTGTCCTACAGGCAGCATCTGACATGACCACTCTCCAAGTCCTCTTCTTTTTGGTCTACAGTCGCTTCCTTGATGATTTCATACAGGCTGTAAATAACACCTATCTACCAATGAATCCCAAATTTATTTAGCTAGCTCAGACCCTTCTCCAGAATCTCATACTTGTGTATCTAAGTGCCTTCACAATGATTTCTGATATCTAAAACTCAGTATTTCCAAAACTGGGTCCTTGGTCTTCCCTCCAAAACCTACTCCACCTATAGCCTTCTCCATCTGAAGGAGATAGCAACTCTGTCCTTCTAACTACTCAGGCTATACAAGCTTGAGTTTATCTTTGACTCTTTTCTTTTTCCCACAATCCACACCCAATCCACCAGGATACCCTGTTGGCTTTGCCTTCAGAATATATCCAAAATCTAACAACCTGTCATTGTGAGCCACCATCATCCACCTGTCACTTTGATTATTTCAACAGCCTCCTAACAGGATTCTCTTTGCCTCACTCCAGTCTCTTCTCAATACAACAGCCAGAGTGATCCCTTTAGACTGTGAGTCAGATCATGTCACTCCTCCTGTACTGTCTCTGCATTTCCTTCAGAGTAAAACCTAGATCCTTATAACGGCCTACATGGCACCCCGTGATATAATCTGCAACTTCATCTTCTACTTCTCTCTCCCTCCGTCCATTCCAGCCACCCTGGCCTCTGTCATTCCCCAAACTCAACAGGTACATTTCCTCTTTAGGTGCTTTGCACTGACAATTCCTTCTGCCCGGAATGTTCTTTACTCAGATATCTGGATGGCTAAATCCCTCACCAACTTCAAACCCTTTCTTACATCTCACCTTTTCAATGAGAGCTACACTTAGCACAGTTTCAAAAATTGAACCTCCCCCTCCCAACCTGGCACTCCTAGGCTTCCTTATTCTGCTCTACTTTTTCAATTTTCTTGGAACTTATCACCTTATGTACATATTATATGGTTTACTTGTTTATTATGATTATTATTTATTTTATGTCTCCCCTCTCTAGAAGGTAAGCTCCATGAAAGCAGTGATCTCTATTTTGTTCAAGTGTAAGAAGAGTGTCTGGCATGTAGTAGGTACTCAATAAATATTTGTTGAACGAATAACAGGACTAATAACTCCTTACATTTTTTATAGTGTTTTATACTTTAGTGTTTTCACATTGTATCTCATCTGATCTTCACAATTACCACATAACATGGGTAGGGCAACCCAGAGTTTATTACCTCCATTCTACATTTAGGAAAATTAACATCTAGAAAGGCAAAAAGATCTACCCAAAATCACACAGCTGGAATGTGGTAGAACCTGGAACCTAGTTCTGTGCATTCTTCCCAGAGCTGCCAACATTCTACTGCAAAGCCCGCAGTCCTTGAGGAAAGGCCTTCCAGATTTTTTGTTAGGACAGAGACACGCCTTGCTTCTGCCATTAACCCAGTGCCTTGAAGCTGAATGTGTTGCACCTGCTCATGGGAATACAAACACGTGAAGTTATCTAAAGACCTGAGTTTATGTGGGGAATAGCCATGTGAATGTCAGAGAAAATGATTCCATTTCCAAATGGTGCTCTCTCCAAGAAAGAAAGCAACATTTGACTATACCAGCTGCTCAGTGGAATAAATCATTTGTTTCTTCCTAACCAGCTCTGCCTTCCTCTTGCATTCCACACTAAACCAAATAGTTCTCCAAAGCAACTTAACCGCACAAAGGGGGAAATTACAGTCTAAGATGGCATCTGCCACGGAAGGTGCATCCGGGTGGCCGCTTCCACTGCGCCACCATCTAAGCCGCTGACTGCCCATGGCGAAAGCTCTCCCCCGCTGCCGTTGCCGCACAAGAAGAGTGCAGACTGTCCCTTTAAATGTACCACTGAAGAGGAAGCTGGTGTTTACTTGGCAGGAGAGAAACAGGATACTTCATGCTTGGCATACTGCTACCATTGGCATCCAATCCAGAAGCTGCTACATTCTGCAGGGGTGGCAACTATTTTGTCCTCAGGATAACATAGTGGAAGATACAGCTATATTTACATACAGGCTTTTTAACAGAGATGCCTGTCACCCCTGGTAAGCTCACAGGAGGCAACAGAAATGGCACAGCCAGGAAAAGGCAAGCCAAGTCCTCAGTGCCTTCTGGCAGGTGAATACACGGTACCAGCGAGGGAGGCCTGGTCTCTTTCCCTGGTCCCCAGAATGTCATTATGACAGGGATGTATGTATCCCATAACCCTTCCAAGAATTACTAAGTAGATCAAGTTTGTCTTCAGTGCCCTTTTCCTTTGATCACAGCAAATCAAGAGGTTGAGGCTTGACCCTACTACCAAGTCGGCTTTGCTTCCAGGCTCAACAAACAACCCCTAATGAAACAGCAACCATCAATATAGAAACCTCAGACTGAAAACAGAAGCATCCACTCAAGCATAGTTTACCAAATGCTTGATGGACTTCAGATAATAAATGGACACAAGCATCACTGAAACATGAAAACATACAACCTCGGCCACACAGGCATGTGCTGGAGTATTTGACACTGGGGAAGTAGGAAGGATGAAGAAAAGAGGTTATTTTTAAGGGGAAAAATATGAGGTTTGGAGGCAGAGTAACTGGGTTCAAGTTTAAAAGTTTTCTTACCTTGGGCAGGTCGCTTAAGCTCACTGTGACTCACTGTGACTCACTTTCCTGATCTGAAAATAGGATGATGATAATTTCTTAAGCAAGTATTACTTTTCTGATTTAGACAATGTTTAATTATGGGGAGATGCCTGTTTAGTTTAAAAAATAGGAGCATGGCTTGTGAATTCAAACATAAACTCTACCTCTGATACTTATTCACTATATGCCATTGAGGAAGGCACTTATTCTCTCTAAACCTGAGTTTATTCGTCTATATAATGGGGATGATGATGACACCTATCTCAAATGGATGCTGCAATAATCAAATACTGTTGAAATAATGCTTTATAAACTATAAACTCCAAGGCAAAGAAAAGTTTTCTTTAAAAAGTCTTGACTAGAGTGACCAACCAATCTGGTTTGCCAGGGACCAAAGGATTTTCCAGGGCCTAGCACTTTCAGCACTAAATATGGAAAATCTTGGGCAAATTGGAAAGAGTTGGTTACCCTAAGTCTCGATTAGCCCTTAACAAAGTCAAGGGCCTGAATAGGCCTTAACTGGGAAGACTAGGCCTTAACTAGACTTAGGCCCTGGCTTAGCCTCAGCTATACTCTGACTAGGCATTAGCTAGGCTTACCCCTGGTTAAGCTGTAATTACACTCTAACTAGGACATAACTAAGTTTAGCCCCTTATGGGACTTAACTGGGCTAAATAGGCTTTAAAAAGGCTCAGGCCCTTGCTACACCTTAAATGAGACTCTGATTATGCCTCCTCTAGACTTAGGTCCCAGCTAGGCCTTAAATAGTCTCTGAATAGATGTAAACTAGGCTTAGTCCCTGAGTAGGCTAAATAGGCTGTGACTAGGACTTAACTAAGCTTATGCCTGATTAGACCTTAACTGGACTGGCTAAACTTTAACTAGGATGAATAAGCCTTAAGTAAGCTTAGGCCTTGGCTATAGCTTGACAAGACTCTGGCTAAAACTTAACTCGGCTCTGACTAGGCTCTAACATGCTTAGGCCCTGGATTCTACCCCTGACTAGTTTCTGACGAATATTTAAGTAGATTTAGGCCCTAACTGGGCTCTGACTACACGTAAACTAGGTTTGGGCCATGGCTAGTCCTTAACATACTCTGAGGCGATCTTCACCATGTTGGTTACCTTAACTGGGTTTAGGGCCTGGCTGTATTTTAAAAAGACTCTGGCTAAGCCTTAACTCAGCTCTGACTAGGCTTTAAAATGCTTAGGCTCTGGATTCTACCTCAGCTGTTTCTGACTAAAGCTTAGGTGGATTTAGGCCCTAACGGCTCTGACTAAACATAAGCTAGGCTTAGGCCATGGCTAGTCCTAAACATACTCTGAACAGATTTTAACCATGCTGGCTAAGTTTTAAATGGGTTTAGGCCCTGGCTATAACTTGACAAAACTCTGGCTAAAACTTAACTTGGATCTGACTAGGTTCTAATAAGCATAGGCCCTGATTTGTACCCCAGTAAGTTTCTAAAACTTAACTATATTTAGGCCCTACCTTGCTTCTAAAAAACTAGGCTTTAAAATACTTAGGCCCTAATTTGCACCTCAGTTAGTTTCTGACTAAAACTTTACATTTAGGCTCTACCTGGCTTCTGAATAACTAGGCTTTAAAATGCTTAGGCCCTGGATTCTACCTCAGCCAGTTTCTGACTAAAACTGAAGTGGATTTAGCCCCTACCTGGCTTCTGAATAACTAGGTTTTTTTTCCTTGCTTTTTATTTTTATAATTCATTACTTTTAACTGACATTTATTATGCATTTATTTCCCAATTATACTTTCTTGGAGTCTTTATTTTTTTACATCTTTATTGGAGTATAATTGCTTTACAATGGTGTATTAGTTTCTGCTGTATAACAAAGTGAATCAGTTATACATATACATGTTTAATGTATCATTTAAAGCTTGTGTTTCCTTATTTATTTTCATTTTGGATGATCTGTCCATTGGTGAAAGTAGGGTGTTAAAGTCCCCTACTGTGAATGTGTTACTGTCGATTTCCCCTTTTATGGCTGTTAGTATTTGCCTTATGTATTGAGGTGCCCCTATATGGGGTCCATAAATATTTACAATTGTTATATCTTCTTCTTGGATCGATCCCTTGATCATTATGTAGTTTCCTTCTTTGTCTCTTCTAATAGTCTTTAAAGCCTATTTTGTCTGATATGAGAGTTGCTACTCCAGCTTTCTTTTGGTTTCCATTTGCATGAAATATCTTTTTCCATCCCCTTACTTTCAGTCTGTATGTGTCTCTAGGTCTGAAGTGGGTCTCTTGTAGACAGCAAATATATGGGTCTTGTTTTTGTATCCATTCAGCCAATCTGTGTCTTTTGGTGGGAGCATTTAATCCATTTACATTTAAGGTAATTATCGATATGTATGTTCCTATTCCCATTTTCTTAATTGTTTTGGGTTTGTTATTGTAGGTCTTTTCCTTCTCCTTGTGTTTCTTGCCTAGAGAAGTTCCTTTAGCAGTTGTTGTAAAGCTGGTTTGGTGGTGCTGAACTCTCACAGCTTTTGCTTGTCTGTAAAGGTTTTAATTTCTCCATCAAATCTGAATGAGATCCTTGCTGGGTAGAGTAATCTTGGTTGCACGTTGTTTTCCTTCATCACTTTCAATATGTCCTGCCAGTCCCTTCTGGCTTGCAGAGTTTCTGCTGAAAGATCAGCTGTTAACCTTATGGGGATTCCCTTGTGTGTTATTTGTTGTTTTTCCCTTGCTGCTTTTAATATGTTTTCTTTGTATTTAATTTTTGAGTTTGATTAATATGTGTCTTGGCGTATTTCTTCTTGGATTTATCCTGTATGGGACTCTCTGTGCTTCCTGGACTTGATTAACTATTTCCTTTCCCATATTAGGGAAGTTTTCATCTATAATCTCTTCAAATATTTTCTCAGTCCCTTTCTTTTTCTCTTCTTCTTCTGGAACCCCCATAATTCGAATGTTGGGGCATTTAATGTTGTCCCAGAGGTCTCTGAGACTGTCCTCAGTTCTTTTCATTCTTTTTTCTTTATTCTTCTCTGCAGTAGTTATTTCCACTATTTTATCTTCCAGGTCACTTATCCGTTCTTCTGCCTCAGTTATTCTGCTACTGATCCCATCTAGAGTATTTTTCATTTCATTTATTGTGTTGTTCTTCATTGTTTGTTTCATCTTTAGTTCTTCTAGGTCCTTGTTAAATGTTTCTTGCATTTTCTCTATTCTGTTTCCAAGATTTTGGATCACCTTTACTATCATTATTCTGAATTCTTTTTCAGGTAGACTGCCTATTTCCTCTTCATTTGTTAGGTCTGATGGGTTTTTATCTTGCTCCTTCATCTGCTGTGTGTTTTTCTGTCTTCTCATTTTGCTTATCTTACTGCGTTTGGGGTCTCCTTTTTGCAGGCTGCAGGTTCGTAATTCCTGTTGTTTTTGGTGTCTGTCCCCAGTGGCTAAGGTTGGTTCAGTGGGTTGTGTAGGCTTTCTGGTGGAGGGGACTAGTGCCTGTGTCCTGGTGGATGAGGCTGGATCTTGTCTTTCTGGTGGGCAGGTCCACGTCTGGTGGTGTGTTTTGGGGTGTCTGTGTACTTATGATTTTAGGCAGCCTCTCTGCTAATGGGTGGGGTTGTGTTCCTGTCTTGCTAGTTGTTTGGCATAGGATGTCCAGCACTGTAGCTTGCTGGTCGTTGAGTGAAGCTGGGTGCTGGTGTTGAGATGGAGATCTCTGGGAGATTTTTGCCATTTGATATTATGTGGAGCTGGGAGGTCTCTTGTGGACCAGTGTCCTGAAGTTGGCTCTCCCACCTCAGAGGCACAGCACTGACTCCTGACTGCAGCACCAAGAGCCTTTCATCCACATGGCTCAGAATAAAAGGGAGATAAAGTAGAAAGAAAGCATTAGTAGAAGTAGAAAGAAAGAAAGAAAGAAAGAAAGAAAGAAAGAAAGAAAGAAGAAAGAGAGAGAGAGAGAAAGAAAGAAAGAAAGAAAGAAAGAAAGGAGGGAGGGAGGGAGGGAGGAAGGAAGGAAGGAAGGAAGGAGGGAATGAAGAAAAAAGAAAGAAAGAAGATAAAGTAAAATAAACTAAGATAAAATATAATAAAGTTATTAAAATAAAAAATAATTATTAAGAAAAAAACGGACGGATAGAACCCTAGGACAAATGGTGGAAGCAAAGCTATACAGACAAAATCTCACACAGAAGCATACACATACACACTCACAAAAAGAGGAAAAGGGGAAAAAATCATAAATCTTGCTCTCAAAGTCCACCTCCTCAATTTGGGATGATTCGTTGCCTATTCATGTATTCCACAGATGCAGGGTACATCAAGTTGACTGTGGAGCTTTAATCCGCTGCTTCTGAGGCTGCTGGGAGAGATTTCCCTTTCTCTTCTTTGTTTTCACAGCTCCCAGGGGCTCAGCTTTGGATTTGGCCCCGCCTCTGCGTGTAGGTCGCCGGAGGGCGTCTGTTCTTCGCTCAGACATGACGGGGTTAAAGGAGCAGCTGCTTCTGGGACTCTGGCTCACTCAGGCCGGGGGGGGGGGGGGGGGGGGGGAGGGGCGCGGGGGGGGGGGTGGGCCTGCGGCGGCATTGGCCGGCGTGACGTTGCACCAGCCTGAGGCGTGCCGTGCGTTCTCCCGGGGAAGTTGTCCCTGGGTCCCGGGACCCCGGCAGTGGCGGGCTGTACAGGCTCCCCACAAGGGGGGGTGTGGATAGTGACCTGTGCTCGCACACAGGGTGGCAGCAGCAGCAGCCTTAGCGTCTCACGCCCGTCTCTGGGGTCCGCGCTTTTAGCCGCGGCTTGCGCCCGTCTCTGGAGCTCCTTTAAGCAGCGCTCTTAATCCCCTCTCCTTGCGCACCAGGAAACAAAGAGGGAAGAAAAAGTCTCTTACCTCTTCGGCAGGTCCAGACTTTTCCCCGGACTCCCTCCCGGCCAGCCGTGGCGCACTAATCTCCTGCAGGCTGCGTTCACGCCGCCAACCCCAGGCGTCTCCCTGCGCTCCGACCGAAGCCCGCGCCTCAGCTCGCGCCTCAGCTCGCAGCCCCGCCCACCCCGGCGGGTGAGCAGACACGCCTCTCGGGCTGGTGAGTGCCGGTCGGCCCTGATCCTCTGTGCGGAAATCTCTCCGCTTTGCCGTCTGCACTCCTGTTGCTGTGCTCTCTTCCGCGGCGCCGAAGCTTCCCCCACTCCGCCACCCGCAGTCTCCACCCGCGAAGGGGCTTCCTAGTGTGTGTAAACCTTTCCTCCTTCACAGCTCCCTCCCACTGGTGCTGGTTCCGTCCCTATTCTTTTGTCTCAGTTTTTTCTTTTGCCCTACCCAGGTACCTGGGGGTTTTCTTGCCTTTTGGGAGGTCTGAGGTCTTCTGCCAGCGTCCAGTAGGTGTTCTGTAGGAGTTGTTCCACGTGTAGATGTATTTCTGGTGTATCTGTGGGGAGGAATGTGATCTCCGCGTCTTACTCGTCCGCCATCTTCCTGGAAGTCCCCCTCAACTGAGTAACTAGGCTTTATATAGCTTAGGCACTGGATTCTACCTCACCCAGTTTCTGACTAAAACTGAAGTGGATTTAGCCCCTACCTGGCTTCTGAATAACTGGGCTTTAAAATGCTTAGGCCAGGGCTTCCCTGGTGGCGCAGTGGTTGGGAGTCTGCCTGCCGATGCAGGGGACACGGGTTCGTGCCCCGGTCCGGGAGGATCCCACGTGCTGCAGAGCGGCTGGGCCCGTGAGCCATGGCCACTGAGCCTGCGCGTCCGGAGCCTGTGCTCCGCAACGGGAGAGGCCACAACAGTGAGAAGCCTGCATACTGCAAAAAAAAAAAAAAAAAAAAAAAAAGAGAGAGAGAATACCCTGCATTTGTAATGCAGGAGCCTCAGTTTACAATTGATAAATCTCAGTGGACACAAAAGGTAGGCTAGGTCCATGGCTATTCCTTAACATGCTCTGAGGAGATTTTAACAATTTTGGTTAGTTAACTGGGTTTAGAGCCTGGCTGTACCCTAATAAGACTGTGGCTAAGCGTTAACTCTGCTTTGAATAGGTTTTAATAAGCTTATGCTCTGGATTCTACCTCAGCTGATTTGTGACTAGAACTTAATTAGGTTTAGGCCCTAACTGGGCTCTGACCAAACATAAGCTTAGGCTTAGGCCATGGCTAGGTGTAACGGAGTTGTAACACTTAACTAGGCTGAGGTTCTGACTTGACCTACTAGGCTTCAATTACATTTTAACTAGGCTTAGGCCCTGCCTAAGTCTTAACTAAGCTCTGACTAGGACTAAGTTTTTTTTATCCTCCTATTAGGACTTCACTAGACTATGACAGCGACTTATTTAGGCTTTGGCCCTATCTAGACCTTTACTGGGCTCTGACTTGACCTAAAGTAGGCTATGGCACTCTTTACGCTTTAACAATACCCTGATGAGGCCTTAACCAAGATAACCAGCTTTTAACTAGGCTTACATCTTGGCTCCACCTTAATAAGGTTCTGACAAGTCTAGCTATGCTTAGGCTCTGGGCAGGCCTAACTATGTCCTTGCTAGTACTTAACTACACTTAAGCCCTGACTACACCTTAACTAGACTCTGACTAGACCTTAACTATGTTTAGGCTAGGCCTCATCTGGGTTATCTAGAGTTTAACTGAGCAACTAGGCCATAAGCAGGCTCTGGCCCTGGCTGCCTCTTAACTGGGCTTACTAGCCCTTAAATAGGCTTAGCCCTAGTTTAGCCTTAACTGGGCTTTGAACCTGGCTACACTCTTGTTAGGTGTAACTAGGACTAGGCCA